ATGAAACTACTGACTACTCTCACTCCCCACTTTCACTATTTTTCTCATGCCTTTCCTTTACCTGCGACAGGAATTTTTCAGGGAGTGCCATGAAGGTCCTAGCTGAAGAGATTTAATCATTAAATATGCATTTTCTACTAGCATTTAGTGTTTGGCAGAGTATCCAGTGATCCCCAAATAATGCTTTTTCCATTGTTTGAAGATCTGCCTTCAAAACTCTCCTCAGACTTGCCAAATATTCAGGTTCTTGACTGAGGAATCCATCTTCTGTGTTTGAGTTCTGTTTGCCATATATTGCAGTTAAGGTGGGAACGACCTCTGGATAAAGCACTTTTTATTTCTATTCTTGGCATAGGGTGTGTTATATTTGCTATGTTGATAATGGTTCTGATTTACCAATTGCTAACAGTGGCTGCCCATAAAGAAAGCATTATTTATTATGAGGTTTTGGCCATGCAATCTTCTTTTAACTTGAAAGATCATTCACCTATTTTTTTTCTCTTTCTCTTTGTTAAACCTGGCCAGTAATCAGACTATAGCAAAGAGTAAATCCATCTAAGCCAGAGGTCATCCCAGTTTCTAGTTAAGAATTTCACAAGTTAATTATTACTTAAAGAAATACTTTTTATGCATATTTTCTCTATAAAAAGTAAGTTAAAACTAGTTTGTGGCTGCCTGATACAAACCAATTCTTAATCTGTATGGCAGTGGACTGTTAAACTAATTCTTGGTCCCGAAATTTGGAAATACATTGCTCAATGTTGCAGTAATATGTGTTATAATCATGATTGCATAAATACAATCTCATTTTATAGAAAACTAGTTCAGATAGACAGATGATTCCTGTCTCAGTTCAATTAGGTGCATTTTGAATCTAATGCACCCAAATTTCCATCTGCTTATCAAACGTACACACATCTTTGATTCCCTTCTGAATTGCTTGCCCACAAGATTCAGAGACCTGCTTGTTCCTAAGCACTTTGCTCATTCCAACATGAACCCAAAAAGAAGATTCATTGTTCAACTTCCTGCTTCTTTTTGCCTTCTCTCATACAGTAGCCCCAGTGTTGAATAAGGCAAGGAAAGCCAACCTTTTTACAGCTGCAGGTTGCCTTTCATTTCATTTTATTGGCTTGTTAAGAGCTTTTAAGGACAGGAGATGGCATTCTGATGTTATCAAAGGAGTGGAACTTGCACTGAAATATGGAATACATAGTTCATTATAAGAAAACCAACAATCTGCAAGCAACTTCTTTGTAGGCGGGAGGCTACGGTCAGAATTCAATATGCTTCCCAGGAAGGACTTTTTTGTAAACTAGCTGTGCAATCTTTGCATCTATTTATTTCTAAATGGTTCTTCTCCACACACCACTGCGAAGTCTGATGATGCTTGATAATCATACATCAGCATTGGCCCTCCAACAAAACTCCAATTTGTTGCTAAATTCCTGACAACCCTTGCCATTGGTAATATGGGACAGAGCTCTGGAGAATTCTCATTTTCCTGTTACTTCTATATAGTCTGGGATTACATAACACAATAAAGCTGAATTAAAAGGTAATTTGCTTCATTAGGGTTTAATGTGAATCCAGCTACTGTAACATATAAAATTTGCTCTGTGACTTATTAATTTTGGTTTATTGAACAAATCATGGTTAAGCTAATGATCAATTAATGTATTAATCAAACCAACACCTTTCTTGTAACCTTCCAAAAAGATATCTTAAATCTTGTAATCTCTTATAAAGGAATCATAGGTTCCTAACCAATATCCTGGAGCATTAATTATGCTGTTTTGCAGAGATGGAGAGCATATAAAGCTAAACTACAATTCTGAGCACCTTCACTTTTGACCCCATTGATCAGGACTCTGGAAATCTAGTACAGCAATATTTGAAGAACTCAGATTGCCCTCCCTTGCTATAGTGAGAAAGAAGGAGAGATAGAACATTGGAAGAACAAAAGTTCAGCAGGGGTGAGTTAGCATACTTAAAATGACCCTGTAGAGCTACTGACTTCTAGCTTTACATTTTTAGAGATGCTTGATCTTGATTTGTCTTAGAAGGGAAAACTCAAAAAAGTGCATGTCAGAGGGGCAGATACAGATGTAGTTCACTTTTACTTTGGGTGCTGTATAAAACTATTGACATTACCGCATAAAAGCAGAAATGTGGCTTACTCTATTGTATGCTGGATGCCTTGCAAAGAGTTCTGTATCTCCAGGGCTGCTTCTAGTCCAGGCAAATCTGTATGTACCACTGTACTATCTCATTCATAGGATGTTATGGGAGACTTTGTGTAACTTTCATATTTTTTCTTTCCATGGAACATTTACTAAGCGCAAACTTTACAACGGTTGTGCTTATAATTGAAACACTGAGCATTATCCATCTGACAAGATCCCAAGTCAGTGATTTACCTGGAGAGGGTCTAGGACAACTTGCTACAGCCAACTCACCGCCAGTATTAGATGCATAGGCCTTGACCTATACCTGCTTTCATGTTGGAAGTCAATCCTCAAGTTCGTTTCCCCTTAACAAATTAACTTTGACTCAGTGTTCTTCTTTGGAAGACACCACATTAGATTGCATCAAAAGGAGTGACCTGTACTGTCTGGTTGGAATGGAGCAACTATGACTTGATGGATAAGCAAGTTCAAATACTATTCTGTTTGACATTATTGAAGACCCTCTGGGGAAAATTAATCATCCTAATAATGCTTACTTATCCAGAAGCCTATTTTAAAGCCCTGAATTTAAATGCCAGAATTTGAGCGAAACTATTAAATTCAACCATGTTATGATGAAAGTTACTATGTGCTAATACAGGATCCTGTCTTAGAATTCAGAAGTTTTTTAATTAATTCATGTGGTCTAACCCTCAACAAGAGGATTAATCCCCCAAAGAGAAGGTCTTTTGATTGTTCCAACATTAGCTTTTTTACGTGCATAGCAAGGGCAGAATAGAAATGGAAAGGAGGACACAAGGTGACCCCTTTTTTATTGTGCATGATAAACAGTTGGTGGATGGGAATAATATATAAGGTGATATTTTTTATTATGAATAGTATATCTATCTGCTCACCTTTTAGCATCTGACTCAATAATTAGTTAGATTCACTCTACAACTGTGTTACTAACTTAATAACTGCAGTGATTCATTTAACTGTGGCAAGAAGGAAAATAAAATAGGGCAAAAGTCATTTAACAATGTCTCACTTGCAACAGAAATTTTGGGCTTAATTGTGGTAAGTCAAGGACTACCTGTATTAAAAATATTAGTTTTTCTGGGTGTATTTCTTGTCAGACTAACTCATAAAGCTGACATTAACCTTGCAAATCTGAAGTTATATTTCTTCTTGGTCACCTTTGTAGCCCAAGAAACTAGGGAGGATCCCTTCTGAGATATTTGCCATATCTACATTGCTGCTGAACTGCCTCTTATTGGCAGCTGCTCTGGCTCTTCCCTGTGTCAAGGTCATTTGCATCTACCATTATAGGGGATATTTCATATCTTTGTTAAATGTTAATATATATTGCTATATGATGTGCTAAATAAATACATATTCATATTTTTATTCAAGAGTGGTCTCACATTATTACTGCTAACCCTATGGAGCAGTGTTTCTCAATCTCAACAACTTTAAAAAGTGTGGACTTCAATTCCCAGATTTCACCAAGCAGCATGTTAATATTGCAGTTATCCGATTGAGTGAATACATTGCTGAGCAATTAAAAGACATTGCTTACCCACAGTCTCAACAAATGTAATGGCAGGAGAATTATTTAGGCCATCTGTTAGCAAATCATTAAAATCTTTAAGGTACTTTCTCTGACTGAAAAAGTCAGATTTGGATGTGCTTAATGAGATCCTTCAGAAAAAATGAAGTGTGAAGATTAAAGAAAGAATATATTAATCAGCGTAGGATACAGTGGAAACAAATATGGTTTGCAACAATAAAATGCTACGGAAAGGTTTACTGACTGAGGTTAAAGTAAATTAGATTTAGTTTTTCTTTCCTTCTTTCCTGATTTTAATTTACTTGGTTTATTACTTCTCTCTCTCTCCCGTGTATTTTGTGTTATGTTGCTTAGCCTGAAAGGAAATAGCATGATGGGTACATATGTATTATGTGTGTACTGTACAAGTAAAGATTAGCAGTTAGGAACCAAATTCAGTATAATCTCCTGAAATTTCAAAAGAACCCTCTTTGTAAGCTGCTGTTACTTAGCCACTGCGATTTATGAAGAATAATTTGTCCTAATTCTTGGATTATGTTATTTATCTATGCAGGGTTAGGTAGACTATTAGATAGATTGCCTATCTTATTCACCAGAGAAAATGAAATGTACAGACTAAGGCCAATGGAGTGAATGTATCAAACTACTGTTGTTTTGGATTACTGTAATTACAATCATAATACAGGTAGTCCTCGATTTACAACAGTTCATTTAGTGACCGTTCAAAGTTACAACGGCACTGAAAAAAATGACTTATGACCATTTTTCAGAGTTACGACCTTTGCAGCAATCCCCATGGTAACGTGATCAAAATTCAGACACTTGACAACTGTCTCCTATTTATGACCGTTGTGTGGCCCACGGTCACATGGTCACTTTTTGCAACCTTCTGAAAACAAAGTCAATGGGGAAGCCAGATTCACTTAACAACCGGGTTACTAACTTATCAACTGCAATGATTCACTTAACTGAGGCAAGAAAGGGCATAAACCAGGGCAAAACTCACTTAACACATGTCTCACTTAACAACAGAAATATTGGGCTCAATTGTGGTCAAGGATACTACCTGTAGTATCCGCCCTCATGGAACCAACCACCCAGTCTTTAAATATGACACATAAAAAATTATGGGCTATTTACGGGTGAAAGGTGAAAAAAATAAAATAAAATATGTACTCAGATTAGTCATTCCTGGTGTAGGACAAGGCGCCCATTCGGCTCGCCCAGAACTCTTTCTCGGGAGAGGCGGGAAGCGAGTCTTCCTGGATTCCAAGCGCGCCACCCGAAAACTCCGCCGGAGGACGCTTTGGGCTCTCGAAGCAGGCGAAGGCCCCCAAAGCGGGCACAGCCGCGAGCAACGGCGGGAAGAAGCGTACAGGCGCCCGCCGGCTTGGTTCTCCCTCCTCTCCGCCAGATGCCTTTTCCAACAGTTTCTCGGGCGGCGGGAGGGCCACGCCCCGGGGAAGAAGGCAGAGCTCGACGCTGCCCGAGGAGGAGGCTCGCTCGGCGAAGGAGAAGCGTCCCTTCCCGAGCCTGAGCCAGGCATGGAACAACTTTGACGGGGCTTCCCGCGACGCGCCGGGACAATGGGACGGGACAGGTTCCCGGGGACAGGTGAGTAGCTGGAGATTCTCCAGGCTGGCCCGAAGGCGTCGCCTGCTATCCTCGACGGTCAAAGGGAGCTTTCGGGTCTTTCGGAGCGCGCCTTCTTGGGGAGGGAGCGCGAAGCCTCGCTAGCGGGGCGCTGTGAAAGGACCTTCCTTCCCTCGCGCAGGTCGGCAGGTGTCCCAGAAGAGGAGGCAAAGGGGGAGGGCGTCCCTTGGGGGCAGCTTCCCTCTCTTCCCTAGGAGTCCCGCCGAGACCAAGCTGTACTTATCCGGACGCGGCCAGGGGAATTGGCTTCATGGAGCTGGGATGGGCGGGAGAGTCGGCCCTGTTGCAGCCTGGCTGGACGTTGCGGGGAGGGGGTGGGTGGCGGCAGATCCGCTCGGGGCTTTGGGCTTTATTCCCGGCGGCACCAGGACGTTTGCCAGGCCGCGGCTGGGAGATGCTTTCTGTTTATAATCTTGTATCCTGGGAGACCGGGCTCCGGTTATTTTGAGAAAGAAGAACGCCGAGTTTTTTTTTTGTTTTTTTGCAAGCGACTCTTCAAGAAGCGGGAGCGAATTGTTGCGCAGCGGTTCCCTGCGAAGAAAAGGCCATTGTAGGGGCATCTCGAGTTACTCCTCCGGCCTCTCCAGGGTATAATAGTACCTGGGGTGAGATCCGTTTTCCTCTCTTCCAGCCAGCCACTCGCCCATTTCCAACCCCATTTCCTGCCCGGGGGGGTGAGGGGTGGGGGGGAGGGGAGTGGGGAAAAAAAGTTTAAAAGCACCGTGTGAAATGCATCAAATTCAATTCAGTTCAAATCTTGATTGTCAACATATGTACAATGAGATTGGTTGAGCTCATTGAGAAACCAAAATAAAGTAAAAAAGATGCCGGCCCGTTTTTCAGAATGGTGTGGAAGGCTTGAAAGAAGAAATAAAATAAAACGTCTCTCATCATTACTGCTTGGCTGAATGAAGTATTGTACAGCATGGACAAATAAAAAGGGTATCCCTTTCCAACTGCTGTCAGTTTTCTGGGCTGTTTCCCACAGTCTCTGACTTGCTCTTCTCTAGGGTCAGTTGCACTTCCGGTGCTGTAGAGGGCAGCAAGTATCCAGGGGATCACTATTCAAGATCTGGGGTGATTTTATAATTTGCAATGGAATGATAGTAACCAGAACAGCACAAAAGTTCAGTAAGGCCGCATTTGCATTTCACGATACTGTGCTAAAATAATTGCATCTGTTGAGATACTTTTTTTTTAGGTGTCATCTTTCTTCCCAGATAAAAGGCCTGAGCTGATGGCACGGAATCTACTGTTAGGGGAGTCCCTAATGGCATCTTGTTTACTGTGGGCCTGCAGCCTCCACTCTTTCTCCAAAGAGTTGCTAGTAAGGATCTTTCTGTTGGCTTCAGTCTGGATCCCAGCACTGGGAGTTTTCTGATTTCCCAGAGTGATTAAAAACTTCCTTATTCATTCTTCCCTCCTCCTTACCCGCCTTCTTGAATCATAGGAGAAAAGAAAGTGAATTCTGCAATTGGCTTGGGTATGGCTCCTTGATCACACAAGGAAAAATGTATGCCTGATCTATTGTCTCTCCCACCTCATTTGCATTTGTACGATGAGGAGCTAGCAGGTGCTTGTAGCTTTAAAGTTGGAGATAATGACTCCATTCACAAGACCTGTGCAATCTCTCAGGTGTAACCCTAACTTGCTTTTCAAAAACAGAAGAATTTTTGACTATAACGTAAGTGGTAGGGATCAAGGCAGTTGTGGGTTTCAAACCCCATTGCTACTGGTTTGCTCGTGGGCGCGCTTGTGCATGTGCGCACATGCGCAGAAATGTTCAGGCGGGTAGGCAGAGCCTCCCACTACCGCTGCTACGGTTTGCCCGATCCAGGGCGAACCGGTAGTAACCCACCATTGGATCAAGGAGTTCAATCATGATTCATTCACCTACTCCATGCAATAATGCATGACACGAATATTCCAAGGATTTGTTTCTGCTTTGAAGGCAACCATTTCCTGCCCTTCTAGATATAACCAGAAAACATATTGAAGTAACTTTCCTCTTTACAGGAAACTGACACGTAGATCAGTGATTCATTTGCTAATCTGAAAGCAGTTTGTGCTTCTTGGGATACCTAATTTTTTTAAAAAAAACTTAGTATTAGAGGACAAGTTCTATTATGTTTGAGGTTCCCATTGTATACACAAAAACAGACTAGCTGTCAGTTGACTCTATCATCAATAGTAGTGAGGAGATAACATCTTTCACTGCACCCGAGGACAGCAGGCCACTTAGGGACACACAGAAGAGCAAGTAGCATAGGCAAAACTATCATTTACCAACTGTTGCTGTCCCATCTATCACCTGCATGCTCTTTGTTCAAATAAATGTGCAATTGAGGCAACAGACATCAGCATGTGCCATGCAGCAAAAGCAGCAAACAGTATAAGAGTGCCTCTCTGCCTTCTTGCTCAGTCAAGGTCTTTTCTCAATACTGTCAATGATACGTTGGGAAGAGGCCAAGTGACATTAGCAATCCATTCCAGCAACAAGCAAAGATCACTAACATTAGAATAGTAACTCAAGAGGAACTGTTATCAATGCCAGTGCCAGCTTGCTCCATATAATGGTAATGCTAGTTATGAAAGAACTGCAAACAAAGAGATCACAAGAACTGCCTTATGAATATCACTGATCAATAGAATACCCAGGATCAGATGCTTCAAAAGAAATTGTGCAGCAAAAGCTTGTTTGTGGAATAAACTATCCATTTAAAATCCAGGATTTTAACAACCAGACAGTGTAGGTTATATAATTATAATTCCCAATAATTAATGGGAAGACTTTTGTGGGAAGACCTTTCCCACAAAAGTCTTCCCATTAATTATTTTTGTCTGACTTAACATAAATTGATACAATACTTTGGGTACTAAATTATATAGTCTCCCATCAGGTTATCTGTTCTTTTTTCAGTGGGAGGCAAGCAGTGCCTACTAAAAGCTTGGGATTATAACTTCCCTAACCCTTTTTTATTTGGCCATGTTTATTTGTATTAATGTAATAGTATTACATTACATTACATTTGGACTATGTAATAGTCCAAAATATCTAGCATAAGCATATTTCAATTTCCATTAACATCAACACTGATGTGACTTAACCTTAAAAGTATAATGGGGTTTCTGAGTTTCTCCCTATATGTTGTAAATTCTTCTGGAAACTATTACTTATTCATTCAGTTTGATGTTGCCTGACTCCAAATGACTGTTACTGATCTTAATATTCTATTTTAATAGAATATTAACATCAGGGATGTTTGAGAACTAAGCCTGAGAAGGAAAAGCTGATGTCATTGGTCAGGAAGAGCTAGGGTGGGATCCTATTCTGGCTCAAGGCCTGCTAATTGTTCCTGCGGTATGTAGATTAAATCAGTGTCTCCAGCACAGGGGCCACCATACCACAACTTCCGATTCAACACAATAGCAGAAGGAAAACATTAGAAAATCATAGCAGTGATTGGTTCCACATTAAACCTGGTTGGAAGTTATTGGGAGATGTTAACATAAAACCAATTAGCTCTTGCTAAATGTTGCAACACAACTTTCCAGCAATTAATCTTACATAGGCCTGCAATATCTTTTGAAGGTTTCAAGCTTCTGTTTCATTTGCAAGTGCATCCTGTATACACTAACTATACAGTACTTGAAAATGTTAAATGCTTTCATGTTTCTTCCTATTGTACTCTGTGTGTTCCTAGACAAAATGATTATAAAAGAATTTATATTCTAATATTGCAAAATATAGTGATTAAAGGGCTTAACTGTTCTTGATTAATTATGAGGTTTTAAATATAGATGTGCAGGAGTTTCATAGGATGTATGTCTATAAATTTGCTTGCTTATGGCTCAGATAACATCTTAAGTCAAAGTCACAGAAATCACATTATGACTTTAGTCTGTGAAACTGACCACAGACTAAACCATCTACAACTTAATCATGCTGTGATTATTTCCTAGCAACAGGAAAGAACTGGTTGCTGTTTGTAAAGTAGCATTGTTCCTTTGGTATACAGTCATTATTTGCTGACTTTAGATGAGGCTCCTGCAAAACTCTTCAATGTGTAAGAGATGAGCAACAGAAAGCAGGGTCATTTTGCTGCCACATGATCTGAAATAGAAGTTGAATCTTCCTTCAACAAGTAGGATAATTTTTCCTCCAGTTGAGTGAGTACGCTAATTTAAACAGTTCAAGGCAGTCTGTGTTCTACAGTTCAACAAGACAGGAATGATCAAAGAATATAAGAAGAATAATTAGAATGACCTCTTGCTTGCTTGCTTTCATAGCAAGTACAATATGAATCAGCTGTTTTACTCTGCTCCAGCTATGGATAGGCCAAAGTGGCAGAGTTCATCACTAAGCTATGATTTACTGAGTAAACAGAGTTGCTCAGTGAGAAAGATGGACAGTCTCCAAATTTGATATATAAATGAAATAAAATAAATTAAAATAAATAAATGCTATTGGATTTGTAAAATATATTCAATAATTCAATACATTTAACTATGGTTTATATGACACTTAAACTAGGCTACATTAACTTGACACTATTAGTCAAAACAAACCATATTATGGGGCAAGTGACATCCTGTCGTATGGAAATGCTTAATTGATATCAAATTTATACACCGTCAGCATATGGCATTCCCTAAGCAAAAGGCTTTGTTGCTACATCTTTTCTGGAATGAAAAAGGGGTGTGTTTTTTCTTCATAATAACACTCTTATATACAGCATCAACCAAAGATTAAGACATCCCCTTCCCAGTGGAGTTTTAGACACCTAGCCAGGTCTGTGTTTTACTTTTTAAAATAAACAACTTCTCATTCATTAATTCACAGCTCTCCTGTCTCCTTCAGAATTCAGTTACTTCATTTCTAAAGGAAAGGACCTGTCTTGTACCTTAGCAGGGTAAGGACAGGAGGAAGCATGCCGCTAGCATTAGAAATACATTTCTCAGGAGGAGGAAGAAAAAAATACTGTGAACAGGGGAAGTGACTTGTGCTTGGTGGGCCATAAGTTCCCTGGGTTTTGAGCTTCTCTGAGAGTTGTCCTCTAGCATTACAGTACAAGATACTAAGAGACACAGTCCATGATATTAGCAATCATATAAATAGAATAGCCTCCTAGTGTTTTATGATGCTCCACCCCAAACTGGTTAATGCTGCTCCCTGAACACTAAGAATTGCAAGCTTTTCCCAGAAAGTGACAAGCAACCATTTTAAAACATTATTTTACTTTGTAGATATTGTGAGGTGTCACGTTGTGCCCACGTGACACCCCTCCTGCGCGAGCTGCATTGGCTCCCAGTGGTCTTCCGGGTGCGATTCAAGGTGTTGGTCACCATCTTTAAAGCGCTCCATGGCATAGGACCCGGGTACCTTCAAGACCGACTTCTGCCACCAACAGCCTCCCACCGGCCAGTTCGCTCCCACAGAGAGGGTCTCCTCAGGGTGCCATCGGCCAAGTTATGTCGGCTGGCGACACCCAGGGGGAGGGCCTTCTCTGTGGGAGCCCCTGCCCTGTGGAATGAACTGCCCCCGGAAATGCGTAAGATCTCCGACTCTGTGTATTTCACTGTGCCCTCAAGACCCTGCTGTTCCGCCAAGCCGGGCTATCAATGTAATGATTTTTAAATTGGGTGTTTTAAATTTTTGGGGTTTTAAATCTGAGCCGAAATTATGTAATAATTTTAATTATTTTTAACTGATGTCTGTCTTTGTGTTTTTAATAGGCTGTACACTGCCCTGAGTCCTTCGGGAGAAGGGCGGTATAGAAATAAAATTATTTATTTATTTATATATTGTAGTACAAATTCTGGTTATAATGAAAACATCTTCTTGTCCTATTTGGTGGCTGCAGCAGTTTTACAAAAGTCTTATCTGACTTCTGATACTTCCATTGTGATGAAAGCTGCTTTTAAAAGCTGCGGGACCTACTTGTTCATCTTGAGACAAAAAGGGATGGAGTGGGGTGCAGTGGAATGGAAGAATCAGCCATGTCCTGTGTCTTCTCTGAATGGAAGGAGACTTTCCATGATCATTACAGTTAATTTGGATATAACCTATTATTAGTGAAATAAATTATTGCAATTCAGTTTAGAATAATTGCATTTGTCCAATCATTGTTTATTGAATCTGTGACTTAACTGCAGAAACAGTTGATTTCTAATTGCAATTCATAATGCAAATCTGTGCAAAAGGTCTAATAATTGCCATCTTTTTTATTTAGATCAGAAGAAATGGACAGTTATACTTTTTGGTGGGATGCTATTAGCAACCAAATTTACATTTGGAGCAATGGAAAAGACCTGCAACTGCAGCACAGATATCAGTTTCCAGAAATTTAGGACTAAATTAGCTCCTGAGATATGTTGTTTGAATTTCACAAGGACTAAAATCGATACTTTGGACTGGAGCATCTTTGCTGGAACTGTAGGGTTGAAAGAACTGCATCTATCAAACTGTGATATATCACATATTAAGAACGTAAGTGTTGGTTCTTTTAGTCTGGAAATTCTGTACTTGGACCATAACAAATTAAATTGGCTTCCAGATAATTTCCTGAAACATGCACCCAGCCTGCGTGTTATTCACTTGGAGAACAATCAACTCCAGAATTTATCTGAGTCATTTCTGGAAACATCTAACCACATTCAAGAGATCTACCTTGATTTCAATAACTTATCTTCCCTTCCTTCTGGGATTTTCAAACCTTCCCTTCTCACACTTGGCCTCTCTCACAACAGTTGGGATTGCACTTGCAACTTTCTTGAACATCTAGGAAAATATATCCTTAGTTCATTTGACATTGTTTGTCACACCCCAGAACATTACTATGGCATAAATATAAAAAACATTTCCAAGGCAGAATTGTGCCAGACTCATAGACTCACAGCTCTGTTTATTTGCTTACCTCTGGTTGCTGTTCTTGTCTTGGTCACCTGCTACTTTTGCAAACACAAAAAGAAGACAAAGAGAAAGACAGGCTATGCTCTTCATGATAGAAAGGAATGCCAGTTGGCTACAGTGGAGAAGAATGGAACCAATAGATCAGATGATCATCAATGCTCTATTCCACCTATTATGGATGTTAATTGCGCTGCAGGGAGTGAAAACAACTTGTTGAGAAACCAAATTTTGCTTAAACCTTCAACTGCATTGTTGGAGAGCAGCAGAGACCTTTATGAGGAAGTGGAGATTAAACTGGGGGCTTCTGATGATTCCTTGACATGTAGAAATCTTGACCAAGAAAAGTTGGGAACAACAAAACCAGTCACTGAAGAGGAAGAGACAATAGATGGGGAACCCGAAGCGGAGACATTGAGTGTAACGGATGTTCTGAGAGATTCAGCAGACCGTGAGAGACTCTACATGAACAAATCAGTAGATTATTACAACCTTGTCCCCGGGATTGAGTTGGAAGACTCAGATCACATGGAGAATGAGAATGTTAATCTTTGCTGAGGCTGCTTGTCGGAAGAATAGGATTTTATTGTACATTAAATTGAACTATTGATGTGGAGGATCAACTAACTTATATATAAAAATGAGACCATATCATGGTTTTTTTCTATTTTTCAGAACTAGACAGCTTTGAAAGGAACTTCCACTGTAATTAAGCATAGGAAAAAAAAGCAATTTTAGAACAGTTTGAAAACTAAGTGGGCTATCTAACTGAAGTTCCTTCCCAGCCCAGTTATGCTATGCCTTTTAACTACCTACTTCATGGTTTTCAAAGTTAATACTTCTCATAATTAAACATTTCTTGAAAGGAAAGGCTTAAAATAAAACCTTTCAAAACCTGAGGCTTGCCAACCCCATATGAATAAGAAAGGGGAGGTCATCTGGCACAAAATGCTGTCATTCCCTTTAAAAAACAACTTCCCATTTCTTAATTCACAGCTCTCATATTTTTATATTACTATACCAAGAGCCACGGTGGCACAGTGGTTAGAATGCAGTACTGCAGGCTACTTCTGCTGACTGCCGGCTGCCTACAATTTGGCAGTTTGAATCTCACCACCAGGCTCAAGGTTGACTCAGCCTTCCATTCTTCTGAGGTCAGTAAAATGAGGACCCAGATTGTTGGGGACAATATGCTGACTCTGCAAACTGCTTAGAGAGGGCTGTAAAGCACTGTCAAGCTGTATATAAGTTATTATATACTATATATACTATTTATATAATATATTATTTTATATAAATAATATATTATATATTATATAATAATATATTATTTATAATATATAAAATTCTGCATTATTTTCTACATGGCTTTTCCTTCATGGTTTTTTCCAAGTCTACCTCCTGAATTCTGACATTCTGTATCCTTGCATATGAGCTAGTCTCCAATCAACCCTCCTACATGTTTAGCTACATCAGCCTTGTATTGTCTCCAATTTTTTAATCACTCCTATTTCAAATTCCTGTCAGGTGGAGACACTGCCTCCTAGTGGAAAGGATTTCATAAACCCATTCTCTTAAATGATTCTTTTGACTGTTAAAATATTTCAAACACTTCGCATATCCTAATTTAATTAACACATTTTCTAACCTATCCAATAATAACAGTAATTTGCTTTCATTTGTTTTGCTTTCACAGTGTCTGGGTACATATAGCTTGGCCTTGTGCAAATTTCTGAAACAGTCTTCTTTTGGGCAACTTTCATGATAGATCCATCAGTTGAGTACTTATGGAGAGATTTCCATAAGTTAAGTGAAGGCTAATGGAACAAAAATAGGTTGTTGGTACAAATCACATGTGAAATATCATATATGTACTTTCATGTGCATTGTGTGGACGCCCTTTATTTGTGGGGTCCTTGGTGCTCGTTGAGCTTGGTTGTTTATTTGCAGACACTTCATTACCAAACTAGGGTAACATCATGAGTACTAGTAGGGAACGGGGGTTTGCTCTCATTTTATATACTACTACAGGGGTCTCAAACTTGCGGGCCACAGGCCAGATGCATCAGGAACTGGCCATGCCCACCTCCGTTTTAGCGAAGGGGAAAAAAGTCACGTGATGACATTTCACTCCCTATAGGTATGAAACCTTTTATTTTTCTGGCAGTTGGAATATTTGTGAAATTATACCATCTGAATCATTTAGTATTATGTACTTCACTGCTATTAGCACACTAAAATGTAAGATCTTTATCACAGTTAATTATGCTTCAAAACTACATTATATAGGAGTCACATTTATACAAGCGCTGTTGCTTTATTACTACATTTTCACAGCTAAACAAATGTTAAGAACTGGTTCAATCAAGCCATTTACAGTTCAAATTTAGGGAAAGTAAGAGGAATGCTATTTTTATAATTTTCTCAATGCATTCAATATTCACAAAATGAGGCACACACTCTCACACACAATATCTTAGACTAATGGGCCAAAAAATGAAGAAAATCTGATTTTTAAAAAATCTAAACTGTAAAAAATAATTTGATACTGACATTGCTTACTGTGAAGAGGGGGGGTATGTGTGTGGTGTACGTAGAATTGTATGTGTGTATACCTTTTGTACAAAACTGTTTTATCTATGTTATTGTAACTTGTCTCAAAAAGAATAAAATAACATTGCTAAAAAGGAAAAGCTAATTTAATACCAGATTAAATATATTATTGTGGAATAAATGTTTTAGAAACTAAAGAAACTACAATAGTACTTGTTTTTTCCTAATAATTACTGTAGGATTTTTAAAAATGCCTGGTTTATAAAAAACATGACCTCAAAGCATGAACATTTTAAGGAGTGACTCTTGCCTTATTATTTACCAGTAAACCATTTAAGCCACACAGTCTACAGTCTCATATTTATCACTCTCTGGAATCTCATACATGTTCCTTGATCAGTTAGTCCTGTTTTTATTATCCCCCTAGAATGTGGACATATAAAACTGGACATTTGTCCCTGTTAGCTCAGGATTGGGCTGGAGACAGAGTGCAGCAATGGGAAAGTTCTAATGCCAAGTCAGGAAAGCATGATATACCAATGTGTACACTCCGGTGTTGATGTTCCTTTCATTCCCTCATGCTAAGTCAGCTGTAACTTCTTGTATGCAAAAGGCATTGGTCATCTTACCATTGTTAAGAAGAAAGAGATTCCATATGCACCTCAGAAGTACATCTATATATTACAATTTCATTTCTTTCCTTATTTAAATCAGAAGTTTTCTCAGTGGACCAGCAGACAGCATTACCACTCTGTAAAATGAACTGATTTTTATTTTTTATTTTTTTTAACATAGAGAATAGGGAATAGCATCATACTTAAAGGTGCAAGCAAGGCAGGATATTCAAAGGTGTTCATACTGTTCATATGTACTAGTTTATAAATCTTCACTGCACAAATAATTGATTTGGAAAACTAGCCTCATTTTTGCAGAGTTCCATAGAAGTCGACTCCCTCCCCATTCCTTTTTAGCATATACTGTACTAAGGAGAAATTTCTTGACAGAACAATTAATCAGTGGAACAACTTGTCTCCAGAAGTTGCAAATGCTCCAACACTGGAAGTTTTTAAGAAGATGTTGGATAACCATTTGTCTGAAGTGGTGTAGGGTTTCCTGCCTAGGGCAAGATCATCTGATCCTTATGATACTCCATTATACATTCATTCATTCATTCATTCATTCATTTATTATATTTATATACCGCCCTTCTCCCGAAGGACTCAGGGCAGTGAACAGCCAAGATCAAATACATAAATATAAAAGTTGAAAACAATTTAAAACCAGATTAAATACTTTGGCCCACAATTAAAAACATCCCATTAAAATCCAATTTAAAACCGTTAAAATTAGGCTAGCCCGGCTTGCTGGAATAACAAAGTCTTCAGGACATGGCGGAAGGTGTGCAAGTCCAGGATCCTCCATACCTCCGGGGGCAGCTCGTTCCAGAGGGCAGGAGCCCCCACTGAGAAGGCTCTCCCCCGGGGGGTCGCCAGTCGACATTGTCTGACCGACGGCACCCCGAGGAGCCCCGCCCTGTGGGAGCGTACTGGCCGGTGGGAGGCTGTCAGTAGCAGAAGGCGGTCCCATAAGTACCCAGGTCCTAAGCCATGGAGCGCTTTAAAGATGTTAATCAACACCTTGAATTGCACCCGGAAGACCACTGGGAGCCAATGCAGTTCGCGCAGGAGAGGTGTTACATGGGAGCGCCCCGCCGCTCCCATAATCACCCGCGCAGCCGCATTTTGGACCAGCTGGAGCCTCCGGATGCTCTTCAAGGGGAGCCCCATGTAGAGAGCATTGCAGTAGTCCAGTCGGGAAGTGATGAGGGCATGAGTGACCGTGCGCAGAGAGTCCCGATCCAGAAAGGGACGCAACTGGCGGATCAGACGAACCTGATAAAAAGCCCCCCTAGCCACCGCCGTCATATGCTCTTTTAAAGACAGCCGCGCGTCCAGGAGGACACCCAAGTTGCGAACCCTCTCCATGGGGGCCAAAGACTCACCCCCAATAGCCAGCGATGGCACCAGCTGGCTATATCGGGACGCCGGGAGCCACAGCCACTCAGTCTTGGAGGGGTTGAATCGGAGTCTGTTTCTCCCCATCCAGACCCGCACAGCCTCCAGGCACCGAGACATCACTTCAAGGGCATCATTGGGGTGGTATGGGGTGGAGATGTACAGCTGAGTGTCATCAGCGTCCTGATGGAACTACATCTTTGTCCTGGGCTTATTGATTCTGAATGAGATGACAGACTTCCAGGCAGAGTTGATGTGCAATTTGAGGATATTCCTGCATTTTTCAGGAATTTTTCCGCTTGAGAAACAGATGGCAGCCATGGCCAGGACAAACTTTGCACAATTGCATCTTGTATGCCAGTTGTGCCTGTTCCTAGATTGGGAAGCACTACTCACAGTCACTCATGCCTTTGTCACCTCTGATTTGGATTATGCAATTGGCTTTATATGAGATTGTCCCTGAAGAGCACTCAGAAGATGCAGCTGGTCCAAAATGCAGTGGCACAGATAGTATTGGGTGCTCCATGGTATACCTATATTAAACTGCACTCTGTTGGCTCCCAGTAGACTTCCAGGTGCAATTCAAGGTGTTGGTTATCACATTTAAAACCCCACATGGCATGGGAACAAGTTACTTATGAGACCACCTCTCCCCAGTGGTTTCTGCCCATCCCACCAGATCTGACAGAATAGGCATAATCATGGCCCCATCAGTGAAGCAGCATTACTTGAAAGCTATCTTCCCTTTCATGGTGCTTCTTCCCCCATGATACAGGCAGTCAAATATGCGATCCTGCTGACCTATTCACTCAGTCACTGGGACCAGGGGGCTAATAGAGCTCTCCTGTGGGTGCAGGTATATCCTTTATGTTTCTAAGAAGAATTATTAGGAGCCTCAACTTGGTTTCTTTTATCTAATGTTCTGTGATTGTGTTTTGTGTTTACTGTACTTGTTTGCCACACGAGTGCCTCTGTTAGATTTAACTGCATTAATGATACACAGAGCTGATTAATTTTTGTTTGATGGATGAATAAAAAGCAGACACTACCCCAGCAGCAAGCAATACAAATCGAACCAATAAATACAATAAATAAATACATGTGCAGTCAGATCACTAACTAGAGACTTCCCTAATGACTAGTAAAAGCTCTGTAGATCCAAAGTAAATAGCTGTTGGATATGCTTCCAGACTACTCATCATACAAACCAAACCATCTGGCCATCACAAATGAAGCTAATACAGTTCAATTGCAATTCTTTTTTAAATTTACTGGATACAATTTTGTTCGGCCTTTTCTCATTGTTATTTTGAATGGTATCACTTCAATAAACCAGCTGTCATTTGATGGATGGAGATAAGTCTGGAGCAAAAAAAGACCTGCTAGGGGAAAGAAACAGAACTTGGCTTAGCTTAAATATTTATGTTCAGATCAGTAAGTACTATGTGCAATGATAAACACTTTAAAAGTTTCTTCCAACTGAACGGGCGTTAAGTGGTCCTTGATAAGAAATGCAGTGATGCTGACTGAGGTCAGATGAACCAAACAAGGACAAAAGTACTTTGAAGGATAGATTTACAGGCAGCAATAACTATGGCAGGCCAAGAGTTTGTCATCTGTGAAATAAATTATAATCTGGTGAGATTGCAGAGCTATAAATTCTTGCCTGCGTAAACTCCCATCTATTTCCCAGGGCAATTCAAAAAAAGCAAATGTTTAAACTATTTTTCAGGGACAAGTTTTAGCATTAGTGGGTCTGAACTGAAAGTACTGCATAAGAATATCAGTGCAATTCACATCCATTTCCTTTTTTCCTCCATTTATTTAGTGAATAATGGATTATGTTTTATCACTTCTCTCTCCAGATAGACTCCTGGTCCAATGAATATTTTTATTTTCCTTATTCAAAAAATAACTTTTCTGAAAACTTTTTCTTACTCATGTTTTCATCAAAAATATGTCCAAAATTAATCAGAAGGGGGAAAAACTATATAAACTTAAATGCAATAACCAACTATACTTAAAGATAGTATACCACATTTTAGTATACCACATTATTTGGCAGACCATCTGCAGCCAGCAACAGCTTCCCATCGCCCGGTGCATTCCCACAGGGAGGGCCTACTCGGGGTGCCATCGGCCAGACAGTGTGGGCTGGCGACCCCCAGGGAGTTTTCTCTGTGGGCGCACCTGCCCTTTGGAATCAACTCCCTCTGGAGCTCCGGGTGGCCCCCGACCTTTGCTCTTTCCGCCGTAGGCTGAAAACTTGGCTATTTCACCTGGCCGCCTTGGACTGATGAGGATTTTATTTAATTTCTTAATTTTTAACTTGGATTTCTGTTTTAATGGTTTGTTTGTTCTGTTTTAATTGTTGTGAGCCGCCCTGAGTCCTGTGGAGATAGGGTGGCATACAAGTCCCATTAAATAAATAAACAGACAAACAAACAAACAAACAAACAAATAAATAAATAAATAAATTCAGAAACCAAGGGGAAGTCTGACAGAAGAAGAGAAGGGCCACTTAAAATATAATAGATGTTTTCAGTCAAAGGGCTGGTAAGAATTGCTCTTCTACAATCATTATTGTGAGGCAATATATTTAAAAGATCGGACCAAAAAGATTATTAATAGGCTTATGCTCATGATAGATGATGGAGTGGTTATATGTGTTCTTGGTGATTCCTCTGCTCCACCTTCAGAATAATTGATGTGGAACCCTGGAGCATCCAGAGAGATGAAGGGGAACCAAGAGAGATGGCTTCCCTCTGCTTTCCACAGTGAAGAACCTCCATTGCATTCTGTTCCTCAGCTTGCAATATGATCAGTCTGAATCAAATCTAAAATTCTGGGGCAGTTCTGTTTTCCCACTGTGGAATATATAAGTGAAAAGAGTAAGAGCTATGTTTCCTGAAAAGAGGAGCAAACATATTGCACTTCTCTACCCTAAACTTTCAGAAGCAGTTTCAAGGTGATGATAATTCAAGATTGTCTTTGTCAGATGTAAATGCCTTATTCTCCAATGTGTAAATAATGTATATATGGAACATCAGAGGTTAACTTATTCTTTGGACTTTAATGTATTCATAACTTACCACTCCCATTCCTAGCTCCACCCCTTGTATATATAAGGAGCCACCCTCACCATTCTCGTTGCTTCTACCTCGAATATTCAGTGAATATAGAATG